GCAATTTGCTTAATTCTAGAAAAAGCGAGAACATGTATAATCCTATACTACATATTAAATGGGCAAAGAGCACCTCCCATTTTTTAAAAGGTACACAACACACTATCCTTAAATATTCTGGTCTTTTAGCTTGAAATAAAGAGCAAACTATTGTTCATTAGTAGAAGTTATTATAAAGCCTTAGATAAAAATGCTTTATTAAGTGCCTAGCATTCTGTATAAATTATCAGCAACAGGAACTATATACATTTTGCACACGGCAATTTGGACCTTTGGACTTTAGTCTCATGCTAGAACTCTGCAATGTACCTTGCATGTTAGTTAAATCTCACCTATGTTGAAGTTTGATTAGGGGAATGTTTATGTGGATTTTTCAGCTAAGCGTATTTTTAAGATAAGCCTCAATCAGCATGTGTATCAGACTAAATTGGTGCAGTTGATTGGTTGTATTTTCAGGCCAGGTCTACATTGGGGGCAAAGTCAAACTAAGGTATGCAACTCTAGCTATGTGAATAGCATAGCTCAAGTTGACCTACCTTAGTTTGACTTACTGTGGTGTCCCTACTGTGGGGAGGGGGTGTCAATGGGAGAAACTCTGTCAACTCTCCTTACTTCTTGTGACTTAGTGGAAAACCGGAGTCAATCCTCAGTCAACTTAGTACCTTCTTACTAGACCCACTAAATCAACACCTGAGAGATGGATCAACACAGCATCAATTTCTCAGTAAGTGAAGACAAGGCCCTTAGACCTTTGATTTCTTTAAACTTAAGAGTCAGACTCCATTTAGGGCTTTTGCAGGACTAGATTAACGTCAGGTACGTGGAGCCCAGATCCACTTTGAAATTAGGTGATTAGATAAGGGAAGAGGTGAGGGCGGCTGGAATGGTTGAAGAAAATGAGAAGTCATTGCTGGAAGAAATGAATTTTTAAATGGCATAGGAAGATATGATACACCTACACTACAGCATTAATTCAAGTTAACTTAATTCGAAATAGTTAATTCAAATGAACGCATCTACACACACAAAACCTATTTCAAAATAGCATTTTCCTATTTCAAAGTAGCACATCCACACCGAGTGGACCCTGAACCAAAGTTAAGGCTGGCCGAAACCAGTGCCGGCAGGGCATCAGGTTAGGACTTAGTGTGTGGGGCTGCTGCCTGAGGCTAACTGAGCTCTGTGCTTAAAGGGACCCTACCCCCACCCCGGACAGACAGTTCTCCAGGTTTCCTGCTTGCTTGTCTACCTCGATGAGGGAAAGCAAAGCAGTCCTATCTTGGACTGCCCTGAGTGCCCGCAGCACTCAGCCACATGGAGACAGAGCTTCCCCTGGGCACGCCGGTGCAGCTCGTGGGGTCATTGCCATCAGCCCAGCTGCACTTGCCGCAGGTTGCCATCCGGGGGGGTTCATCGGGGGGCTGTCAGGATCCAGGAGGCCCTGTGGGAGAGCGTCCACCCCGCGGAGCCCTCAGAGCCACCCTGGTCCTCCCCACCAGGGGCTC